TCTTTCCGGGGGGGGGGGGGGGGGCGAGAGAGGTCTTGGGTGGTGTGTTCAGACGTACGGGGGAAGTTTGGGAGTTGGAAATTTGGAGCGTGAGTGAGACACGGCACGAGGAGAGCACCCCAAGTTTCATGTGCCCACACTGCAACCCAGCCACGGCATTACCGGAAAGGGTAGAAGGGGGAGGAACTTAGTGATAGTGCGAGGGGAGGCTGAGTAAAAAGTTAACCTCACAGTACAACGCGTTCATAACCCTTCATGCCGAGCTGAATGAAGACCGTATATACAGATTTGAAACTCTTCTTGGGTTCGTTGAGGTTCGCTGGACTCTTCGAGCCACACACACGTACGAGTTGTTGGTCTTGGGAAACATCACCCTCCAGCTGACACCCAGCCGTGGGTTGGTCCTGCCGACTGCCTATATGTTCATCTTGCAGGCAGTGATGAGCGCTCTCATGAGCCCACTCCGGAGGCATCCCTTGTTTTAGTCTATCTAGACCCGAAAGGACGGAAAATGTTGGTGTCATTGGCAGCGTTGCGCGCACACCTGTAGTGGGGCCCCCAGTGGAACGCGCTCGAAGCCGAGTCCACGCCTCCGACGCCGTCTACACTCGACGCGTAAGAAGCCGAGTTACCCCTCGACTCCTGCATGCGTTATTCAGCGTGGGAGAAGAGAGAGGCAGAGAGAGAAAGAGGAACGATCGGGGCGCGGTGGGGAAAAAATGAGCTGGGGGCGACGCGGTGGAGGAGAGGCCGCGGGACGGAGCGTCGAGAACAGAAGGGAAAACTGATGTATCTATATCTACCTTGTTTGATCTTCCTCGCGTTTGGGTCATGCACAGACCTGATCGCGTAGTTGCGATGCGAGCACAACACACGATCAAGTTCCGCACCACCGATTCGCGGGCCTCTGTTCGTAAGACTGGTGACGGTGCAATCGCTCTACACGGCTATGAACACCAGTACATGTTCCAGCTTGCCTACTTGCGAAGTCAGAGGGGCTCACAAGGACCTATTCGTGCGGATACATACCAACGAGCGTCCTGCCGGCTTATGGGTGCCATTTCCCCTGCAGCCATCTACAGAAGCGGGGTAAAAGGCAGGCCCATTCTTTCCACACAGCGAACGACAAAAGTTTGCTGCTTCGTGTATGCATGATACTCTCGGTCAGCACGAAACGGTTGCAGTGCTCACAGCAGCTGTGTTTCCTTTGAAGGCCACGATTAAGCAATTTCATTCACCAGCTCGAGACGACACACGTCGCTTAGGCTTGTCGTGGTATTCCTGTTACTATCCGTGCCGGTCTCTACGCGTACCTCCATGCACGCCCCGGTCTTTTCCATCGAGTCATGACTTTCCGTGGTCACAGGCAAATCATTCTCAAATGCATACAAACGGGGCGGGGAACAGAAGGCCCAGAAAAACCGCTTTCTTTCAAGCTATTACACGACGGCTGTACGAACAGTAAAAAAATGATGTGACTTTTATCTACTTGCGCGCGATAAACCAAACAAAAAATGCAAGACCGACGAGAGCTCATTCGGTGCTCTTGTCACCAACTATTTTAGTCCGCAACGCCTTCCATCGCCGGAATTTCGTATTTTCCCCCTACCCTTGACGAAACTCTCAAGTGCAAGCGCAATTCCGAATCCGACGAATTCATCACACAGAAACGACGGTTTGCTTCTTCCCCCGCTGGTTACGCCTGCCATGATATCCATTCCCGCGGGGCGACACAGCCAAAAAAGTCGGCGTGTTTCACTGGTGTCGACGACACGTACCATGACGTCGATTTCCCCGGAGGCCGGCCACTGCCCGTATGCGTTTTGCTCGGGGAGAAGCCAGATCGCCGGCCACAGCCTGATTTTTGCCAGTTCCGTACGCAAACAAGCAACACCGGGCGGAACAGAACATCGTCGGCAGAAAAAACGTGCGAAGCAACAAAACAAAAGAAACGCAAGACAAAGAAGTCAGAAGGGATGAAAAATCCGTATCAAACAGGCGACAACGGGATTCTCATGGCATCACTACGGTTTACGTTTAGATACAAGGGCTAAAAAAAGAGTGCGAGCGGTATCGCTTCCCCTGGATATGGTGCACAGCGATCGCGTCACGTCATTGAAACGCGAAGAAATTGTGGAGAGGTTGACAACAAGAATCCACCAGTAAGCCAGCAAACACAAAACAGCAGTGATTTATTTCAAGAACGTGCTTTGCTACGCCTTATGACCTAAACCGCTGAAAATCCACCACAACATGGACTACAATCGCAAACGAAACTAACGGGACTCAAGGATCCAATTTATGTTTCGCCGAAAGAAAACAATTTTGTTTCTCTTGATGCGAAGTTCTTCGTGAAGGTGGACTGCGTCGATCTACTTGTTAAATAATCACAGGGTGAGTGAGCTCTTCATTGCTTGAAACCGTTGCAGGCTCCACAACAGAATAATCTCTCTGAGCGTCCCTCGCACCAGTCTCCCTTGGGAAGCTTGGCCTTGACCTCCATGCGACCGTAACGGAACGAAAACGTTCCGGCGGTCCTCACCTAAACACCAGAAGTCGACAAGAAAAAAAAGGGAAAAAAAGAAGCGCCAATGTCAGCAGGGTGCGAGGTTACCAACTGAACCCCTTTTTTCCAAGCAGAGGCTGAAAGTTTAGAACGGGATATGTCTTCAATGTATTTTTATCCTTCCCTCCAACACCAACCCAGGTTTTGAGGTGCAGAGAGTAATACTGGTTGGGCAACATACAAAGCAGCCGGGTGATATCGTGACTCTTTTATTGCTAGACAAAAACATCTAGTTACTTTCTTCCTCTGCCATCTTAACAGGTCCACGTGAAGTGTCTCGTTGGCTTCACCGTGCACAAGTCACAAGACCAGCTCAAAATTTCTGAACCGCACGAATCCTCACGCTTTGCTTTCAGCAACCGTTCATTCGCTCACGTCCCCATTGTCTTATGATCTCTGGCTTTAACCTGTGACCACGCCTTGGACGTTCGGTTCTCTCCCTAGCCACGGCAGACGGAGGAGAAGGATAGAAGCGAGGACGGTTTGCAACTCCAAGAAAACAAGACAGGAAATCACAATCAACAGCAATGACAACATCGTTCTCACCCTCGCTGACATCACTGGGTTGATGGCTATCCGGGCGGCCATGTTGCTCGCGCGAGAACAGCCGTAGAACATGTTGCTGCGAATTGATTTGGAGGGAACGGGAGGGGGGGGGGGGGGGACCAATCGGGGTAAAACGCACACGAAACCCACGTGCACGTTAGTCCAAAATCATCCCAACAAACACGGGCAACCCTTCAAGTGTAAATGAAATTGGGATTTGTGATCCACTGAACTGCAGCCAGCAACAGCCTGCCGCGAAACATTCCATGCAGGGGGTCGCCTCGTCCTTGTCCTCCTCGTGTTCTCCCGTTAAACTTTGCCATTGAAGCCCCTGCTACGGTCACCGTTGTGGGGGGCGCTAACTTTCTGATGGGCTTGGTGTTCTCCCCAAACTGTGGTCCAAGCTCTTTCCCACTTTCCCAAAACCTCTTTACCCCGCACAGGCGGTAAACCTATCCCGCTGG